TGAGTGACATGATTCCCTTTCCGGATGCTGACACGCGACCAAGAAGTCGTATGAACTTCGGTGTTAAGCCCTTTTTCGGGTCTATGTTTACGGCCCTGACTAATCAGTATGGCTGTTGGAGGCTCGGTTATGTAATATAATGGAAGCGGTCGCGGTGAAGGATAAATTTGGATTCACATAGTGCGGGGTGAGGAGAGACAGCCCAACACCCCACGGCAGCGTCTCCACAAGAAACATCTGCAACCTCAACCATGACTCTTGTCGTTGACGCTTCGTGAACTCCGTAGCCTGCCGACGTACCGTCCTGGAGTACATTGCGTTCGAGAGCACACGCATGTACTTACGACACGAGGTTAGGCAACTGAGTGCTTCCTAGAAGCCACAGACCTATAACACACGTTGTCGCTACCTGGAAGACGCCTGCCCCCTCCACTGCAGCTGCTCGCATCATATGCGCTGAGCCCAAAACCCTAAACCCTAAACCCCTAAACCACGCATCCTAAGCGCTGAGCCCTAAGCAAGGTCATGCCTAGCGGTCCATCGCTGCAGACAAGCTCCGTGCCTTGGGCCTTTGTACAACAGAGCTTCCCGACCCTATACGGTTTAGGGTTTAGGGTTCAGGGTTTAGGGTTTAGGGGTGCAGGGTTTAGGGTTTAGGGTTTAGGGACCCGACACCCGAAACCCGAAACCCTAAACCCTAAACTCTACACCCCTAAAGCCTAAACCCTAAACCCTACACCCCTCAACCCTAAACCCTACACTCCTAAACCCTAATCCAAAGTAGGGGCTCTGAGATCCTTGGAGACAAAAACCCTACAATCCTAGCCGCTGCAGGCCTTACATCCCTATCCGATCCTAAAACCCTACACCTCAATACGCAAAGCCGTCAAATCATAATTGCTATTTCGTACGATACTAGCAAAATATGAAGAGCGATGCTATTCAAGAGTAGCAGCAAAGATAGGAAGAAAACGCAATATTTGACCTCAAAGGAGTCATTTTCCTCTTCTTCGGTCATGGACTGGCTCTAGCACTAACATCTTAGTTTGGGATCTTATCTGGGTTTGGGGTCTTCGGGGCTTTAGGGTTTAGAGTTTTGGGCTTTCTGGGTTTATGGTTTCCGGTTTAGGGCTTAAGGGTTTGGGATTGGTTTTACCTAAAGCCGTACATCCTTAACTCTGACAACTAGACAGCATCGAGCACCCGGCAAAACCACCCCTGAACCCAAACCTCAAACGCTACCTACCTTGCAGCGCCTTCAAGCCCAAAGCCTTAAATCAAGCCCTCGAAACTCAAGGAATTCAAGCACCCTAAACCCTATACCCTAAATCCGCAAACCTTGTTGAACACCCTAGATAATTCTGAACCTCCCCATTCAAAAAAGACGAAAGATGTAGAATGCCGAAGCCCCCGCAAACAAAGAAACCAATAAACCCAAAACCCTAAACCCCTAAACCCTAAACCTTCAAGCTCCTAAAACCCCCTAAACCCTAAACCCCTGAACACCGTAAAACCCTAAAGCCCCGGGAGTCCCGTACGAATAGACTCTACTATGACAAAAATTATGGTATGCCATACCGTAACAAAAGATAAATGAATCTACTATGCTGTAATAAGAAACTCACTATAGTTAGAACATACCATGATTTAGTATACATAAATAGATTCTATACTATAAATCTATACCCTAATCTGCACCCTAAACGCTAAACGAAAATGCCCAAACCCGAAAACCCTAAACCCTATAAACCCTAAACCCTAAACCCTATAAGCCCTAAACCCTATAAACCCTATAAGCCCTATAAAGCCTATGAGCCGTCTACGCTCTAAGCTCAAAAAACAAAATCCTTAAACCCTGTGAACCCTAAATCCTAAACCCTAAACCCTAAATCCTATAAACCCTAAACCCTAAATCCAAAAGGCCCTAAACCCTAAACCCTCTAAGCCCTATGCCCCAAAAGCGCTCTAAGCCGAGGACTGGGAGCCGGTCGCCCGGGGCTCGGACCCAGGAACTTTTTTGTGTTTGAGAAGTTAGGGCTTATAGGGTTTAGGGTTTGGGGCAAAGGGTTTAGGATTTAGGGTTTGGGGTTTAGGGAGGTTTTGGGTGGGATTTTTGGTTTGAGAAAGTTAGGGCTTATAGGGTTAAGGGTTTAGGGGAGTTTTTGGGTGTGAGAAAATAGGGCTTATAGGGTTTAGGGTTTAGGGGGGTTTGGGGGGGGTTTTTGGTTTGAGAAGTTAGGGCTTATAGGGTTTAGGGTTTGGGGCAAAGGGTTTAGGATTTAGGGTTTGGGGTTTAGGGGGGTTTTGGGGGGGATTTTTGGTTTGAGAAAGTTAGGGCTTATAGGGTTAAGGGTTTAGGGGAGTTTTTGGGTGTGAGAAAATAGGGCTTATAGGGTTTAGGGTTTAGGGGGGTTTGGGGGGGATTTTTGGTTTGAGAAGTTGGGGCTTAGAGGGTTAAGGGTTTAGGGGAGTTTTTGGGTTTGAGAAAATAGGGCTTATAGGGTGGGGTTTATTGGTTTGAGAAGGTTTGGGTTTATAGGGTTTAGGGTTTAGGGGGGTTTTGGTTTGAGAAAGTCATTTTTTTTAGGGTTTAGGGTTTAGGGGGGCTTTTGTTTGAGAAAGTTAGGGTTTATAGGGTTTAGGGTTTAGGGGGGTTTTTGGCCTGAGATAGTCTGGGCTTTTAGGGTTTAGAGTTTAAAGTTGCTTATAGTTTGATATCGTATTTTTTCTATGGGTTTTGAGCTATGGCATCATAGATGGTTTGAAAGGCTTTTTTCGTGCTTTTGTGAAGGTTCCCATAGAATTTCCATATGTCAGCTGCGGTGCTCATGCAATACGAAACCAAGATGCACTGCAACATCTTAGGAAGTCCTCGGCCGCATCGGGTGACAAGCAATTCGGGACGGCTTGAACTGTTGAATTGAACTCGGAGTAGTGGCCTGAAAAGCAGGCCATAAACATCCTACACAATCTGGTTCGTACAGGTCTGGCAGAAGTCCGCCCCAAAGGGCAAGAGCGCCAAGAGCGCGACCGAGGCAGGGATACAAAGCCGGGGAAGTTGCCGCAGGGCTGGAAGGTCTGCATTTGCGTGCGTGGTCAGATTGGGTGCAGGTGGCTCGTGGATGTGCGCAAGACACTTCGGAAGCTCGCACATGTCTTTCTGTTTCGAGAGCGAGAGAGAGAGAGAGAGAGAGAGAGACAAAGAGAGAGAGAGAGAGAGAGGGAGAGAGAGGGAGAGAGAGGGAGAGACAGAGCAAGAGAGAGAGCGAGAGACAGGAGCGGGAGGGCAGACAAAGAGACAGAGGGACCGTTACAGAGAGTGCCGAGGGATTGATTAGGGGTTTTAGGGTCCTTCTAACTAAAAACAGTTCTCTGCAGTCGAATGACCATTGGACATGCCTTTCGTTGTAACGAGGTTGTTCCAGAGTAAAGTCTGGGTGGAATAAATGCACTGCTAGTCGAGCTGCATTCCCTCACAATGGACAGGTGAATGCCGCTCGCCGAACAGGTGGCTACGTTGAGACGGACAAGAAGCTGCGGCCTTTGCTTTGGGTGTCGCGGTTTCTGGTGTTTGGGCCGATGAGGTTTTGGGACTTTTGCAAGATCGGCCTGCGCTCTTCCTTTTTCAGCAGAGATGGTGCCGGTGATGTCGGATCTTGAAGGTCTTGCCCATGATCACCACAGGGATGAAGAAGATGATGATGACTTTTGGACTTTCGCCGCAGAAAGCACTACTATCCGAGACGCCTAGCGCGATGATGGAGATGATGATGATTGTGATGATGATGATGGTGATGATATTGAAGGTGATGGTGATGATGATGATGGTGATGGAGATGACGACGACGATGATGATGACGACGATGGTGATGGAGATGGAGATGGAGACGGAGATGATGACGATGATGATGATGGTGATGGTGATTCTTGTGGTGAGGATGCTTTTTTCATGGCGACTTTCTTCATTCAGGAGCACACTGAGGACGGCGGTAACATTGCAAATGTGATGACAGCGGCAGGTACAGTATGTGGCAGAAGAGCTGCATCTTTCAAGCTCCTGTGTCCTTCTTCTTAATTATTTCTTACCCCCTTGCAACATCCACAAAATGCATTTTGCTCGATTTCCTTCCGAAGCCTTGCTACGGTCGCACCGCAGGGCCCAGTCTTTTGTCACACGAAGTCTTACAACTATGGCTAATATAGGGGCTTAAATTATAATTACCAATGTTATTTTTTGGGGGGGGGTTCCTTAGAAGTATAAGTATAGCATAATGGGCCCCAAAGCACTATTTTAATTATTAGGACCCTATATTACTGTGGCAATTCGGTTACCTAGACCCTCCATCTGCCCCTCTTTTCGACCTTAAAAAACTTACTTTTAGGGCCATACGCCCCCTACTTGCGAGTGCGGCTCCGAGATCCGTGGGTCCCAGAGACTCCAATATCCCTTAGTTAAGGAATATACCCTTAAATTGTAGTAGGATCCCTACTATAATTTAAGGTATATATTCCGTAATTAAGGGATATTGGAGTCTCTGAGTTGTCAGGTTTGGAGGTGGCACCAACGTGCCGGCTGCCCAGTCACGCCGCTGCTCTGGGCTTCCGCATTTGACGAAGCTACGGCAAAGGGGTCTTTCTAATGTTGGGGCCTGAAGAATTACCTATACTATTTTCGGGGCTCCTTATTATAATTACTATAGTAGAATGGGCCCCAAAACCTTATTGTGATTATCAAGGCCCCCAAAAGTATTTTCGCAAAGTCCCTGATATGCGTCTTCCAATTCCGTGGTAGTCTTATAGCACAAGATATCGAAACGCCCCATAGAGGACTTGGTATTTCCGCAACCTTGGACACCCTAAGCCGTAAGCCCCTCAACCCACTAAAGCCTAAACCCCTAAACCCCCTAAGCCGTAAACCCTCATCAACCCTGAACCCCTAAACCCTAAACACCCTGAACCCGGAAAACCCCAAATACTAAGCCCTTTGTCTCAGCCCCGAGGTCGGCGCACTCAACGGTGCCCAATGCGAAGAAGCTGGATGTGAGCCGGCCGTGTTTGGGTTCAGGGTTTAGGGTTTAGGGTTTAGGGTTTAGGGTTTAGGGTTTAGGGTTTAGGGTAGGCCGTGTTTGCTTCGGAACTTCGGGGGTTCGAGACAGCTTCCATGAGGTTCTACAAGGAGTCTATGCGGGTCGAGGTCCGGCTTTCCGGGCTTCGGTTTCGACTTGTCAAGATTGAAATCTAGTGGTCAAGGTAACTAGGATAGTTAGCACAGGTTTTCGGGTGAACTTTGTAGCTTAGGTACATGAAGGAACCCTATGGAATAATGTCGATAATGATGTCGGCTTCCTTATTGCAGAACAGGCACCAAGTTTTTTCCTGAGTTGTGAGGTACATCTCACTTAGAGATACTAATTCAAGAGGTTTTCGTAGTTGTAAAAAGTATTGAGGAGGGAAGGGTTCAATGACCTTTTGTGTCAACTCTAGGCACTTGAACCCCCCAACAAAAAAGCCACAGCACTAGACACAGGGCAGACCTACAGCCCTACAGCCCCCACCCAAAAATCTCTGAAACAAGAAAAGCCGTTTTTGAAGCCCCTTTGTAGTACCACAAATAGAACTTTAATAAAAAACCCCAAGTTTATTCAGCCATTCCACCCCTTCAAAACCAAATCGACCCCCAAGCTTTTCGGAGGGGTGGACTTGGCCATTCCAGGTGTTGGGGGTTGGGGCCTTTGTTTTTCTTTGGGGGTGGGGCTTCGTAAAGGTTTGTTTACTTAGATCGAGTTCGGAATCTAAAGGCATGTATATATATATATATGTGTGTGTGTGTGCATGAGTCTGTGAGTTTGTGTGTGGGTGTGGGTTTCATTTTGGGGCTTTTGTGCATAAAAGTTTTGCTAGTGCGTTTCCAAGGTTTTCGTAAAAAACCAGGGTTATAAATAAGGTAACTATAATTATAACCCCAATTACGGCACTTATAGCCTTACTTACTAGGTCCAATGGTCCTCCAAGTAGGCTAACTTAACAATGTCCAATGTTTGGCGGCCTTCAGAAGAAAGCCCCTACTGTTGATGATATGAATCTTGCATTACCCTAAGGACCCTGAACTATGGAAATTATGGTATATTCCTTATTACGGGTAATGCAGGATATCTATATACATATATATATATATATCTCTCTCTCTCTCTCTATCTATCTATCTATCTATCTATCTATCCATCCATCCATCTATCTATCTATCTATCTATCTATCTATCATCACCCGTAGTACCGAGTTTCGACTTTTATAGGTATCGAATTTCTGAAGCTCTCGTATGTAACCCAGATAAAACCCCGAACAGCCCCCACGGAACCCCAAAGAACACTTATGATAAGGAGCTTACTGGCTAGTTTCTACATTAGGGGCCCCTCAGCCCTAAAACCCAAACCCGTATCATCCTTTCAAGCAACAGGGCGCCTTCGAAGGCCCAAACATTGCAAATTAAACGTTTAGGGTTTAGGGTTTATTAGGTTCCAGGGTGCAGGGTTTACCCATAGGCCCCATAGTAGTTCCTTTTTGGGAATACCTTATAGGATTTAGGATACCAGGTTCTTGTATGACACCTAGCTCTAAAATCCAAAATCCTGCACTAGAGACCCTTGTAGAAGCCCCTTGTTGTAAGAAGCCCTTCAAGACGCCCGTAGAACAAGCCTTGCATAATGTAGGGGCCTAAATAATTACCCATACTATTTTGGGGGTTCCTCATTATAATGATAAATAGTATGATGTAGCCCCAAACCCTATTCGAATTATTAAGGCCCCTACACTCTAAACCCTTATAGTAGCCCTTATAGTAACCCTTATAGACCCTTTTTAAGGAGCCCTTTAAAGGGAACCCTCTTCTAACAGGAGAATGGCGAGACCTTCCGGCATGCCACCGTGTCCCACGAATTCAAGACCGCCCTTCAGCAGGCCGGTGCACTCGAGAAAACTGAAGGCGGAAGCAGAAACTTATAGGGGGTTTAGGGGGCGTAGGAGTTTAGGGGGTTTAGGGGGTGTAGGGTTTAGGGGGGTTGGTTGGTTTTGTGGGTTTAGGGTTCAGGAGGTTTGGTGTTTAGTTTTTTTTTTTGCTAGGGTTTTCCAAGGGTTGTGTGTGGGGTTCCCGGCGCAGAAATGTAAGGACCTGCCTTCGGGGTCTCGGGGCCACTATATGAGCCGGGAACCTGGTTGATGACGTTGAGGGTTTAGGATTTAGGGTTTACCTTATCCTAGCAAAACCCTTTTTTTCGTAGGTTCTTGTTGTAAACCCCAATATGGGATTTATAGGGACCTTACAAAACAGCAGTTTCTGGTGGGTTACGGGAGGGCCTAGTGTAGGATTGCACGTTTAGGTTCAAGGACTTTCGGGTTTCGGCGCGTGTACATCCGGCAGTTTTGGTATACCGGCAAACTTGGGTGAACGTTGTCAGTTGCATGCCGTTTGAAGGGTTATTCGCAAACAGAGGGATTCCACGTCGCGGGACGGAAAAGGTATAATATAGAAGCCTAAATAAATACCTATACTATTCCTTAACATTCCTTGTTATACTTATGGGTGGTTGTCAAAATTATGGTCCCTCTTTGGGTCCTTAATTTAATACGGCACCTATTATTTAGGGTACCCCAAAAGAGACCATAATTTTGACAACTACCCTTATAGCATAAAGGACCCCAGAACCCTATTCTAACTATTAAGGCCCCTCTACACATAACCCAAACCCGAAGATCTTCAACCCCAGGCCAGGACGAGAACCCTGGGCCTCGAACTTCCGAAAAGCCGTTTAGGGTTTAGGGTTTCGGGTTTAGGGTATAGGGTTTAGGGTTTAGGGTTTAGGGTTTAGGGTTTAGGGTTTAAGGTTTAGGGTTTAGGGTTTAGGATGGACTCCCCAAATCCCTGGCCCCTCGTTTAACTTCCGAGAATACCGAAAGCACACTCTTGACTAAGAAAACAATGTGTGTGTATATGTATATGTACATATCGATATAGATAAATGGTATCCCAATTAGGCAACCCTAAACCCTAAACCCTAAACCCTAAACTGAAAAACCCTTAACTGAGTCGAAGCTCTCGGAGATCCTTCTGTACAAAGGCCTGGAAAACACTGGTTAAAACAGAGAACCTCACCATCTAATGATCTCTAAAGCCCAATATCGGGGCCTGAACGATTACCGATGCTGTCCCTATCATCAATTGTCAGCTAAGCCCTATTCTAGTTATTCGTGCCTCTAAACTAAGCCCCAAAGGCGCGCCTAGCGAAGAAGATGACGCAGACCGCCCTGGCGACTGCCATCAACGAGAAGGTCGCATATTTGGAGTTTAGAGAGTTGGAAAAGGGGTGCAAACACAGAAGCCTCAATAACTGCCAATGCTATTCCTTAGATCTGCTATTATAGTCATATACAATACCCTAAACCCCTAAACCCTAAACCCTAAACCCTACACACTACAATGTGACCCAGAACCTTATTCTAAGTGCTAAGGCTCCCGTTTTATATCATTTCTGCAAGGGGTTTGTGAGCAGGGCTCAGCGACAAAACCTTTCCGGCCATGGTTTAGAGACTGGTTTGGGCCCTAAACCCTATACCCCAAACCCTAAACCCTAAACCCTATACCGTTTAGGGTATAGGGTTTAGGGTTTAGGGTTTAGGGTTAGCCTATACCCTATACCCTAAACCCTAAACCCTAAACCCTAAACCCGAAACCCTAAACCCTGATAGGCTTCATCGGCGTTTTGTAAGGATTCTACCGATGTCGGGCTGCCGCAGATCCGGGGTCAGGGGTTGAAGGGTTTAGGGTTTACAACGGAGTTGAGTGCTTCCTGGGGTTTCGAGCTTTTCAGCCTTGTAGGCAGCTGAGCCAGCTGAAGTCAGGGGCTTACCTCAATCCCTTCAGCATTTTGGTTGCTTGAAACTCCTCCGTGCGACCACTTAAGGGCGATGAAGCCTCCATCCTAGAATACAGTCGCTCAGGGTTCGGAATTTTTGCATCTTTTGGATTGCTGCGGGACGTTTCAGTTGGTCGTGAGCTCGGATTCAGGCTTAGGGTAGGCTTTCACATGTGCGGTCGGGTATCGGAAGGTTAGAGAACCCGAATCTTGGCTCCTACATGACCTATGCTTGGGTTTGGGGTTTTCTGGGGGCTTAATAGGATTTAGGGCCGATTTCCGAAACCCAAAATGCCAGGCGCTGCAGAGACTGTGCCATCGCCTGAACCCTCCATGCCCAATCCGAAGCCGAAACCCCCAAGACCCCCTAAGGCCCTGCAAGAAGTAGACTGCAAATCTAACCCCGTAGCGAAAGTTTACCTCTCGAACAAACTGATAACCTCAACCCCAAGCCAAAAGCCTGAATGCATCAAGTTGTTATGATCTGGAGTTGTCCAGGGTAGCGTGATCAACGAGTACGAGAGTGGCAAGGCAAGAGCGACAAATGCTAACCCAACATGGCTCCGCATGTTTTGCAAACGCGTACATCTGTATGTGCATGTTCAGCTGATATACAGTGTATACTCCTCCTCCTCCTACTACAACTACTACTGATGCTACTACCACTACTACTGCTGCTCTAGTAGTAGTAGTAGTAGTAGTAGTAGTAGCAGTAGCAGTAGCACTAGCAGTACTAGCAGTACTAGCAG